CCCCCCTGCTAGCAGTGATTTTTTTCCCACGGTTCCTCCCCCTCCTGCTGCAATTCCCACGGTATACACTCCCGGGGCTGAATCGATCACCAGCTGAGTTTTCACCGACCCAATCACCGCCATCTGGTTGCATTGAAGTTTCATGTCTGACAGTGAGTAGTCTCTGTCCCACATTTGGTGGGTTGGGATACGGTCATCGTACTTAACTCATTCGCTGTCAGCTGTTTCCTGATCGGTAATGCTCTTCGCTGCCATTGTTTCTCACCATTTTTACTGTTTTTTAAGAGTCACAGAACGTTGCGTGCTAGGATGATGTCGATGCCAAAACAACCAAAACAAAGAGGAGACTCACCTCTTACATCAGGAAGAATCTGTGTGTTTCGAGTTGTATCCGTTCTTTCATAATCCATTGTGAAATTATGATTGGCAGAATCTTTTTCGTTTCGCGCCTCACTTTTTTTCTAACAGGAACGGCCCAAATGATCTCCTAACATATGGATTTTCTGCTTCGTGATCATGTGACATGTGACATATGCGAATGAAGATCAGCTTCAGAGCTGAGATGTTTGTTCTCTCGACGCGGGGGCTCGTTCTGATGCCCAAACAGTAAAAAAAAAATGCTAATGACGACTTTAGTCCTTCCATTGTTGAGGCGGCTGACCGGAGCTGTGGTCGCAGGATCGTCGTGCATGTCGTGGTGGCAACCCCTGAACCTGCTGGTGGACACCTGCAGTTAGGGATGCTGTCAAGCTGAAGAAAGAGTCGTATCAGGTCTTTTTGGCCTGTGGGACTCCAGAGGCAGCTGATGTGTACCGGCAGTCCAAGCGGAATGCTGCTCGGGTGGTCGCCGAGACAAAAACCTGGGCATGGGAGGAGTTCGGTGAGACCATGGAGCAGGACTTCCGTACGGCTTCGAGGAGATTCTGGTCCACCATCTGGCGCCTCAGATGGGCAAAGCAGTGCGCTACCAACACTATCTATAGTGGGGATGGTGTGCTGCTGACCTCTACTCAGGACGTTGTGGATCAGTAGGCAGAATACTTCGAAGACCTTCTCAATCCCACCGACACGTCTTTCAGTGAGGAAGCAGAGTCTGGGGACTTCTGGTTAAAAAGCTCCTCTGTGGCAAGGCTCCAGGGATGGATGAGATCCGTCCAGAGTTCCTTAAGGCTCTGGATGTTGTGGGGCTGTGTTTGCTGACGCGGCTCTGCAATATCGCGTGGACATCGGGAGCAGTCCCACTGGACTGGCAGCCCGGGGTGGTGGCTCCCTAATTTAAAAAGGGGGACCGCAGGGTGTGTTCCAACTACAGGGGGATCACACTCCTGAGCTTTCCTGTTAAGGTCTATTCAGGGGTTCTGGAGAGGAGGGTCCATCGGATTGTTGAACCTCAGATTCAGGAGAAGCAATGTGGTTTTCGTCTGTATGACCGGTGTCAGAGCGTGGTCCACATTGCCGGCAGTAAGTCGGGCTCGTTCCCAGTGAGAGTTGGACTCCGCCAAGGCTGCCATTTGTCACCAATTCTGTTCATAACCTTTATGGACAGGATTTCTGGGTGCAGCCAAGGTGTGGAGGGCATCCATTTTGGTGGCCTGAGGATCAGATCACTGCTTTTTGCAGATGATGTGGTCCTTTCGGCTTCATCAGAACATGATCTTCAGCTTTTGCTGGAGCAGTTCGCAGCCGATTGTGAAGTAGCTGGGATGAGAATCAGCTCCTCTAAATCTGAGATCATGGTCTTGATTCGGAAAAGGGTAGAATGCCTTCTTTGGGTCAGGGGTGAGGTCCTTCCCCAAGTGGAGGACTTTAAGTATCTCGGTGTCTTGTTCACGAGTGAGGGAAAACTGGAGCGTGAGATCGATAGGTCGATTGGTCCTGCATCTGCAGCGATGCGGGCGTTGTACCGGTCTGTCGTGGTGAAGAGAGAGCTGAGTCGGAAGGCGAAGCTCTCGATTTACTGGTCAGTCTACATTCCTGCCCTCACCTATGGTCATGAGCTTTGGGTAGTGACCAAAAGAATGAGATCGCAGATACAAGTGGCCGAAATGAGTTTTCTCTAAAGATAGCTGGACTTGGAGCTCCCCCCATCTCCTACGCATCTTTGGGGGGCAGATCTGTGGTCCCTCACACTCTCTGTTGGACGCTCCTATAGTGAAACCTTACATAAGCAAGTGCGTGTACACACACAGGTGCTCACATGGTGCTCTCAAAAGTATGGGCTTGGGCACGTTAAACACAGGTCTTAAGACGATGGTGGGCACTTAATGCACTGTGATTTATTATCGTGTGATTCTTCAGTTAAACAATGTTGATTATATATTTCTTCATCAAGGTGACGCAGTTATAGCTTGATCTTGTTGTATTGTTGTGTCCCATTTTTTTGTTCTTTTGCTTTTTTTGTCTTTTTCTGCAGGTCTTGAAGCAGACTCCTGTTCATTTTTTTTGTGTGGAACCCCCCGCCCCCACCTTTTGTCCTTTCCTTTCTCTTTCACCTCTGTCTCCGTGTCTGGTCGGAATTACAAAGCATTCAAAAGCAATAACAATAAAGTTTTAAGTATCAGGTGTGACATTAAAAGCAGACGCTTTGATGCTCCACCTGAGAGTAAATCTGTAAGGCTTGTTACCAGCATTCAGACATCAATTCTGTTTGCTTCACAGCCAGACAGGACACTGTAAAAATAAATAAATAAATAAATAAAGATAGCTGGGCTCTCCCATAGAGATAGGGTGAGAAGTAGACCCGCTGCTTCCCCACATAGAGAGGAGCCAGTTGAGGTGGCTCGGGCATCTGGTCAGGATGCCTCCTGGACACCTCCCTGGTGAGGTTTTCCGGGCACGTCCAATCAGGAGGAGGCCGAAAGGTAGACTCAGGACACGGTGGAGGACTATGTCTCTCACCTGGACAGGGAACGCCTTGGGATTCCCCCGGAGGAGCTAGCCCAAGCGGCTGGGAGAGGGAAGTCTGGGCCTCTCGACTTACGCTACTGCCCCCGCGACCCAACTCCAGATAAGTGGATGAAAATGGATGGATGGTTCTCTACTTGTACCCTTCTGGAGAAGGCATTCTACCCTTTTCCGACTCAAGACCATGATCTCGAATTTAGGGTTGCTGATTCTCATTCCAGCTGCTAAACATTCGGCCGCGAACCGCTCCAGCGATAGTCGGAGATCACGTTTTGATGAAGCCAGTTGGACCACATTATCTGCAAAAAGTAGAGACCTCCTTAGGCCACCAAAACGGAAACCCGACTTAAGACTGATTCGTGCTTCTCCGTCAGCTCCGCAAGGGACAGACACGCACGGATTGACGGAAGCATTTTGCTCTCATACTTCTCCGTCTCCTGGAGATTGTTGCAAAGCAATTCCCCGGCAGGACAACTGAGGCCGTAGCGCTGTTCTGTGGTATCCTGTCATGTATCCGATCCAAGAGTTTATATTGTGTTTTTTGTATATAAGAGACTTTTTAACAAGGACAAATTTGTCTCTCATTCTCCTCCACCTCTAAACCCACGTTTCCTGTCATTTCCGTCCACAAATAAAACGCTTGCTGCACATCTTTTCACTCATCCAGTCATGGGGGAATCAAACATTCATATTTTAGAGTTTTTTCGCGAGGTTTTCTTCAAGCTTCTCCGTGTCTGCCGCTAGTTATTCTCGACTCTCTTTATGTTTTTGATGGTGCAATGGCGGCCTTGTAGGCGACAACGATGCCCTGACCAATCACAAGCTTGCGTTCTCCGTCTCGTTCGACGGATGTTTAAGAAAGTGGGTTTGACTCCGTACTTGCGTGCCTCGGCGTCTCCGCACTGACGCATATGGAGAAGCATGAATCAGCCTTTACTGCCGGCGATACGGTTTTGTCAACAGATAATGACTTTTGTTTCTACTAGAGCCCACTGTACTTCTTAAAAATATGAGTAAAGTGGAAGTTCTTGCTGATGTTGTGAAAAGTTACTGCTGAATCCTTCATCCACCACAAGCATCTCTGCTACAAAAGTGTCGTAGTGTGTGCATTGATGCCGTTGCTTTTTAGTAGAAAGTAAATTTCTAACAGTCAGGATTTTTACTATGAATTATTCTTAATCTCAGTCGGGGTTTATTTCATTTTCAATGCATCATGATTAGCCAAGACAGTTTTGATCAGATTACAGCAGCTGCTTTGTGCTCATCCTAATTCCTGTTGAAAATTGAATAACATCAACAGTTCAGCCCCTTTCTGATGCTGATATGGTGCAATGTGATACTTAACTCGCTGAAACTCCTCCAAGTGAAGGAAAAGAAATGAGATCCAATTTATTGTGTCTTTTAATTCTAATTTATGCCGTTAGGAGGCATTTTCCTCTTTCTTTTTTTTTTATTTTGGCTTGTTTTCTGAGAAGATAAAACTCCAATTTGATCTGGCTTGGTTTGCATGCCTGACTGCATTTTTAATTCTGGAGAAAATACTCCAAAGGGCCAGCTAATGAAGCGCCTCATCCCAGCCCTCACCTCGCGTACTGGCTGCCTTACCCAACATGTATTTCGAACTGAGATGTGGAAGGAAATAAAAAAAACACTTTGAAAAACTAACCTCACGTATTTTCATTCCTCATGGGGAACTCGCTGCACTTCTAATCAAATTTAGTGCTTGTGTATTTTTGTGTTTACATGCTGTCCACAGTCTTTAAGTGGCAAATAAATCAGAGGGATTTTAATCCAAATTAATGTTAATAAATAATAAAGCAGTTCAGCTGAATATCAGGCTGATGCTTGAGCTGAGCAAAATCATAAAGCTCCTCAAAAGAAAACAGAGCAGAATTGTAGACAAGATAATAGTCCAGTTTAATAGTTTTAGAATACAAAGAACAGGTTTCAGATAAGTTTCTTGTATACTGTTTTACATTAGCTTTAATAACAGGTTTAGATAAACTTCAGTAAAATCACAGCTAATCATGGACACAGTTTCCCTGGAGATGAGAATCCTTTTGATTTCCTGTGATCTCTGACTGTTCTGCTTCCAGTATCCCGAAGTGCCACATCTGAGAGCTCTGTGACAGTTTGACCTGGACTTTTCTCTCTCAAGCCAGAGGAAAACCTGGTGAGGTTCTGAAGAATTTGCAGTTGAATTTGTGACTTTGAATGTTTTCTTTAACCTTCCAAAATCCCTTATCTGGAACTTTTTGTTTATTTTCCGTAACAACAGGTGAGTGATTAGACTTGTCTTGGTGACTTACAAGGCTTTGTTATGTTTCTGTGGGTTAGGTACCAACAGGAAATTTGTTTTTTAGGTCACACCTTTGTTGCATGGTGGAGTTAAGGTGCAAATGTTCACAGGAACAAGTCCTCCGCTTCCGACCTTGGTTGTTGCCTTCCAGTTACCGGGGTTAAGTACCAAACTGGCCATAAGCTTGAGTTGAGAAGTTCTGTAACAGTTTAATTAGGTGGCTAATTCAGTTGTAAACACTAAAACATGGAGGATAGTGGCCACTGAGGACCAGTACACCTCTCATGTTTGGGTTCCATCTTTATCTCATTAATGTAATTAAAAGTGATTGCAGAAGTACTTGTATGGTGTGGTCCTTCATCCATGCAGTATTTCCAATAGGACTTTGGTTATTTAGATCAGTAAATGCCAAACATTTAAGTTTTATACCCACAAAATAAAACTGACAAATATTTGTGACTGATGATTGCGGGTTGAATGTGGCTAAAAAGCTAAATAACAATAACAATAACAACAGGAACAGATTTGATATTTTCTCCTAGTTTTATGTATGTATGTATGTATGTATGTATGTATGTATGTATGTATGTATGTGTGTGTGTGTGTGTGTGTGTGTGTGTGTGTGTATGTGTGTGTGTGTGTGTGTGTGTGTGTGTGTGTGTGTGTGTGTGTGTGCGTGTATGTATGTGTTTTCTCAATTTTATTTTATTTTTGGAGATTATTTTAATGTCTGAATGCACAGTGGCGAAGTGGTTAGTGCTGTTGTACTGCAGAGAGACAGTCCTGGGTTCACACCTTGGCCTGAGGTGTCTCTGCAAGGAGTTTGTACGTTCTCTCTCTGCATGCGTGGGTTCTCTCCAGGTACTCGGGCTTCCTCCCACAGTCCAAAAACATGACTGCCAGGTCCCTCTTTCTAAATTATCCTTAGGTGTGTGTGTGTGTGTGTGTGTGTGTGTGTGTGTGTGTGTGTGTGTGTGTGTGTGTGTGTGTGTGTGCGTGTGTGCGTGTGTGTGTGTGTGTGCTTGGTCCTCAGTGTCTCTGTGTTGCCCTGCTGAAGATAGGCACTATCGTGACCCTGCGTCGGGTTCAGTTAATGGATGGATGGATTTTAATGTCATATATTTGAACCCTTCCACTTTCCTATCAGGTGACCCCACCAGGGCAAGGGGTGGTTAAACAGGGTTTAAAGTTTATGCCTTGGCAGGGGTCAAGTGATGCACCCCTTAAAAATATTAAAATAATAATAACAATACACCAGAGGTCCATCTGACCCCATTAAAATTGTGGCAGGGTTAATCCCCACTGATCCCAAATCTGGGAACAGTGGTTTAAAAGAATGATGAACTCCACCCCACCAGCAGTTCTGTCCCAGAGCTTTTTACTGCTACACTTAAGACAATCTGGCAGGCCTACATGTGGATTATTACCATACATATTTCTAGTTTTATATATTCCAGGAACTTTAAAGAGGACCATCACTGAGAAACTATTTTTATTTGTTATTTTTGAAAATAATCAGTCTCTTTGAATTTAACATGCAGGTTGAACATGAAAATAGTCTCCTACACCTATCTCCACCCATCTCCTGCATTAGCTTCTGATAGACAGTGGAACTCTAGGATTTGAAAAGCCTGACAGGTCTATGTCACACTGTCTCTTAACATTCAAGGACTCACCCATGTCGACTCACGATGGGAAAGGCTGTTGGTGGTTTAGCGTCCAGGAAACGGCAGTCAGGTTGGTAGAGGCAAAATATCCAAATATCAGCAAAATGCTACAAATCCCTTTGTCTGGAGCTACTATCGCCTCTGGGGCGGAAAGTTCTGGTGCACCGGTTTCAGCTCAGAGAATTCAGCCAAAGTACATTTTACAAGGCATTCATTCCTACTATAAACCACAGCAAATGTATAAAATATGAGTAAGAGACCTCTTTAAGTGCAGACTAAAATGATCAAATATTCTCTATTACAGTCATACAAAACATTAATACAGTCAATTTGAAATGTTGCCTTTTTGAGGTATTTATTGCCACCCACCTCAGAAAAAAAGAAAAGCAACCATGTTAATCACATATTGTTTAGAAATGTAAGCACAATGTAATCATTTTCAGTTTGCTGTATAGGAAAGTAATTAGAATCAATAAAAACAAAAGTGCTGATTAAAAATAGTTTCAGCCCTCACCCACTCCTCTGTTGTTGGTGAAAGCTCCATAATCCCATTGGTTTTCCCTTTCTTAACATTTTGTTAAATTCAAATACTTTTCATGTTTCTTTTCTTAGTTTTTTGGCAGGTTCAAACTCAATATTTCATTCTCAAATTTAAACATTATTTATAAAACACATGATGTTTCTCCTCCAGCTTCACTGGCTGCCATTTAAAGACCCTGATTCTGGGCTTTAGGGCCTTACATGGACAAGCACCATCTTACATTGGTGATCTTATCAGTCCCTACACCCCCAGCAGGTCCCTGAGGTCCAGTCATCAAAACCTACTGGTTGTGCAGCACCAGGCTAAAGACCAAAGGTGACAGATCATTTGCTGCTGTGGCCCCCAGACTCTGGACCTCTCTCCCCCTGAGCCTGAGATCAGTGGACTCAGTGGTCTCCTTTAAAAAGCAGCTGAGCACTCACCTGCTCAGGCTGAACTTCTTCTTCACCCTCTCCCTTTTCTGCTCTTTCTACCTATTCCGTCTTTCACAGGACACACTGATTACCTCTGTCTTATTAATTTTCTCTTTCTCTTTCCCTTTCATTAATTTATTTATTCAATTTTTTTTATTTTTCTCATTTTAATGATATTTTTAAATAATGTTTAAAAGCTTTTTAAACTTTTGTTGTTGTGAAGCACCTTGTGATTTTTATCTTGAGGCGATAAATAAAAGTTATTTTTCTTTCAAATAATTATTCCTAATTCACAGATAGAAGAAACAAAGAAAACTGTTGATCTGTTTTTTGTTTGCAGTGGTTGGGATGGGTTCACTGTCACAGACCTGCTTCAGCTGCCCTTCAGCTGCTGAGCACAAAGTGTAAACTGTCCTTGGGAAAGTCTCAGAAGCCCATATTGCTTTTGATAAAAGCATTTACCATATGAGAAAAAAAGTCAAAACAGGTGATAAATGGTATACTGAGGTGATTTCATTTAATTTGATTATAGCATGACAAGGTCATAAATGCCTTAAGGCAAATGCTATCTAATCATATTGTAATCAGTATGCTGGTGTTGTATTTGGGACATTATCCTGGACCCATTACATCGAAGAATCTTTTTCTTTTCCTCATATTTTCCTTCCTCTCAGTATCAGAAGTCATTCCAAGTTTGTGGCTTCGCTTTCGACTTGGCACCTCGGCTGATCCCGCAGTCAGCAGTGATGTGCCAGCTCCACTGAATAACTTTAACGGGATTGGACCCTCGCCTCGACAGTGACGCACTAAGCCAGTCAAGGTCACTAACGGCACCACATAAAAGAAGACATCACTCCTTAATGAAGTCATGCATCATGTTTAACGTATGCTTCAATTAGAAGCGTCACGGAGATTATTGAGATTATATTCTCCAAGTACATTCATTAGCATACTCCCCCCACCCCCCCCCCCCCCCATCTTACTTTAAAGCTGTAAGGGGATTTTCTGGATCCAACTGAGAAGAATCTGCACTGAAGAAGAAGGAGTCACTGGTAATTTAGGGAATGAGGTTGATATGTTCAGTTAGTTTGGATCCAAAAATTTGAGTTTTACAGAAATAATCTGCAGCTGTCAGCAACAAAGCTGCGAAGTGTAGCTCCAAAACACTCGAGTGTTTGAGTGTGTGCTCTGAGTCGGCTGATTTGCTGGTGTATAGATGACATTGGTTCTTGAGCGGGGCCTTGTGAGCGACGAATTAACTGTGATGGATGGAAAAGTTCAGTCTGCACTGTTAGAAGAAGTTATGAAAGCCTGGAGTTGTGCTCTGTGTAGTGGTAATTGGACTTCCCAATGCCCAGATGTGATGAAGCTTGTGGCTTTAGTTTCTGTATAGAAACAGAACGAGAATTATTCTCAACGGATGACAAATATTGCTGTTGGACCAATGGTGGAAGTTATACCAGATGAAGCACCATAATCTGTGATATGGTATTTTCACCACTGGTTGTGTGTGTGTGTGTGTGTGTGTGTGTGTGTGTGTGTGTGTGTGTGTGTGTGTGTGTGTGTGTGTGTGTGTGTGTGTGTGTGTGTGTGTGTGTGTGTGTGATGTTTAAGTGCACACATTTTAACTTTAACTTGTAACATGTGGACACTTCCACATTGTGGGGACCTTTTGCTGGTCCACATAATGCCAAGCACCATAAAATTTGGTTTTAGAGGTATGCTGCGAATTAGCTATTAGTTTAGGTTAGCTTAGATTATGGTTAAGAATAGAACCCCATTGGTTAAGGTTAGGGTACGGGTTAGGCTTAATGGAGTCACTAAAAAGAAGATGAAGGTTATGGCCAGAAGACCATTATCTACACCATATTTTTCACACCAAATGCATTCCTGCTAACTTGTCGTTTCTCAGTGAAAATTGCTGATTTTTTGGTAAGGTCTTACTCCAACACAAAAATACTACTTGATTGCAATGATTTAGGTATGCCTGGCCAAAGCTTTTGATACTGTCAATCATGACTTATTAATAAAAAAAATGTGTAGATATGGCATCAGGGGTGTGGCCTATTACTGGATTAAGAGTTATTTAGAGAACAGACTCCATTACGTCCACATTAACAACACTGATTCACAGCTACTGACACTGACCACCGGTATCCCACATGGGTCATTGTTAGGTCCCTTGTTGTTTATTCTTTATATTAATGACATAGGTTTAGTTTCTAAAACATTGCATTTCATACTATTTGCAGA